AAAAATGTAAGTGAGACATTGTTTCGTGTAAATGGATTTAAAATAGTTGAAATAAATTATTCGAAGAAAACGGGTGAATAAATATTTAAATAAGCCAATAAATAAGATAAAAATAAGAAAATTTTTCGGGTCCTCACATCCTTCTCTTTCTAAGTGTGACGAAATTCACACTTAGGATAATATCGTACCCATTAATAGTCATGCTTATCAGATCAATCAACAACTTACACTCTCCAATCCATATCTCACAATTTCTATTCATCCAATTAGCAATCGAAATTTGATTTTCCCCAATAGGCGTTTTAACTTCCAAGTCACTTTCTCCATTCTATGATTTCTCCATCAAACCTTCACTAGGGGAAAATCTCACTTGACACCCAACTAGGTCAATCCATTATGACACTGGTAGGTCGAATCTTCTCGTTCATTTCCGACTCATACCTAACACTAGGATCCCATTGAATTACATAAGACCATCCATGATCTTAGTTATGCCTAAAGCAAGAAATAAACTAATTACGCGAGAAAATACTTGATATACAAGCCAACTTGAAACATCAAAAATAACAATAATTAACATGTATTTACATTTCAAAATTCATACTATTAGCAAGTCATGGGGCGTTTACAAAATATAGCACACAGGTGCCACAAAAGTACTTTTAGTCGTGTACGACCAAAGTAGAGCCAAGTGCCTTAAAAGTAGGCCACACAGTCAAGCAAAATACAATGACCTTTGCACTAGTATCACCCCAGCTATTTCTAGCTACAAAAGTCAAAAGAGAGTCATCACTCTAGTCTAGTCCACAGTAGGGCTATCAGGTGGAATCTCCTCCTCAGGATCCTCCTCGAAAGGCTCCTCCTCAGTGCCCTCCTGAGCTGACCCTCATCAATCAGCATAGTAGCATCTGTCAAGATCCCAGAAGCCCTATCTCGGATCTCCTCACCTATTCTAGTCAGATGAGCTCTAACCTATCAAAACTCATCACGAGCGGCCTCAGCCCTAGCCCTCTTGTCTACCATCGTCCCCTTGAGCTCAACAATCCTAGCACCCTGAGCATCCATCATGGCGTTCAGCTCCTTAATCTCCTGAAGTAAAGATTTGTTGGTATTCACCAACTGACGACGCTCGTCGTCGAGGAATAGTATGAGATCATTAGGATAAGCGTATGACATCCTACAGGGACATCGAGAAAACCTAGTAGAAGGCGAGTAACGCACAAGAGCTCCTCCACCCAGTGCTCGGTAATAAATAGGCCTAAGGGGCTCCACGCGACCATTGGCATGACCATTACCATTAGCAGCAGGTCCATTTCCATTATCCATCCCTACAAAACAACCACAATATCCAGGTTAGAAACTTAAAGTTACTAACTCGCTCAAACATTACTTAAGGTATAACTAAATTGTCTAGTCACTATTCTCGAGAGTAAAGTCTCTAAAATATCTCCCCAAATAAATCTTTAAACCTAGGCTTTGATTTTCATTCCTACAAGCGGTCACTTAAATTTTGAACCAATCCCACAGTCCGGCATCGTAAACTTTTAGTCGAAGATACACTACAAAGATATGAAACCTAGGCTCTGATACCAACTGTGACGCCCCCACTTCTCCCAAGAGCGAACCCAAGGGTATCCGCGGAACGCCTGCCCAACTCTTGCCAGGATTCGGTATGATTCCCGTTAAAGCTTAATACAATAATAACTATTAATACCAGACGACGTAAGAAAAGAAGTCGCTTCCATACATAGATATTCAATCTTACATTACAAGTTTCAAAATACATCCACTTTCCCAACATATATAACTTCCATAAGATGTCCAATCAAGTACATTCCCAAAATTCTAGTCAAAAGAGCCATCAAGTAGGCTTCTCCATAATTCCTTCCATTTCAGCTCCTGCCAAGGAAAACAAATCTAACGGGGTGAGCGGATGCTCGTGAGGCCAAGAAAAAAATTAAAAAAAAAAAAACAAAACAAGCACATGCGAACGCATAGTTTAAGTAACAAGTAACAATAACATATGTACAAAAATTAAAGCCAGAAAGTTCAAGAAATTCACAATTTATAATATAACACACTTGTTAAGGATACGGGAGCTCTCATGAGCTAATTTCCAATTGTTTTACCCAAGTTCGATCCAATATCTCCCCGTGGTGACACTCCTTTAATCGAGTCGGTATTTAATTCTGTAGAACTTCACTTACTCTATTTATGGTTCTGAATCGATATGAGAGGTACCTCCCACCCGAATCGGTGTGGTACATGCTATCACTCAGGGAATTGATTATACGTTTATGGTTCTCAGTCGACATGAGAGATATGTCCTACCCGAATTGGTGTTGTACATACTATCGCTCAGTGGTCGATGAGACATCTCTCCAGTTGACTTATACTTTGTTTATAATTCTGAGTCGACATGAGAGGTACCTCCCACCCGAATCGGTGTGGTACATACTATCGCTCAATGGTCGATGAGACATCGCTACAATCGATTTAGGATTGTTTATAGTTTTGAGTCGACATGAGAGGTACCTCCTACCTGAATCAGTGTGGTACATGCTATCGCTCCGAGAACCAATTATAGCACTGAGACGGTATGAGAGGTACCTCCCACCCAAATTGGTTCGGCACATGCTATCCGCTCAAGGCTCACGAGTTAAACATATTCACGTACAATTACCAATCATATGTACAATTACCAATCATTGTTTATGGTTCTGAGTCGACATGAGAGATACCTCCCACCCGAACTGGTGTGGTATATGCTATCATTCAGGGAATCGATTTTAGCACTGAGACGGTATCAGAGGCACCTCCTACCCGAATCGGTGTGGTACATGCTTTCACTCAGAACTCATGAGTTAAATGTGTTCATGTATAATTACCAATCATATGTATTCAGGTATTAAGTACCACGTAGTTCAGAGAGAGAGAGAGGACAAGGGCATCCCCACGAGTAAAATATGATTTGTCGATAAGATTTACTTCAATCGACGTCGAGTCAACACAAATGTAATTTGCAATGGCAACACTTCACTTAACTCACATAGCAATTCACTTCACACAATTCGAATATCAATTCACATAGCACAATTCAATTGTAGCATCACTTAAGGGAGAACGAGCGCGATAAAGTACACACTCGTCTCGACAAGTTTACGTATCATGTATAACACTTGTACAATCCACATTTCAATCACATAGGCATTTAACATGCACTTGAAACTCACCGATTCAAAATAAGTAAGCAAACAAAGCTTTAAGTGTCCGCACCGAGATTACCTTCGAAATCTCCTTGAGCGCCTGAACAATTAACAAGTGTTTTTCACTCACAATCATGTATTAATCAAGTAAGAAGGTACACTCATTTAGAATAGTCAATACCTCAAACAAAGAACCTTAGCCACTCAAAATAAAGGTTCAAAAGTGAGATTTTATTAGCACAAGAAAAATTAATTTCTTTCATAAAATCAAGTTTAAAATGGTCAATCATTAGCAAATGGTAGAGAAAAGTTTCCAAAAACTCATTTCTCATCAAGTTGGAAAATTTCAGTTTCAGGTATCGAAATTAGGAAAATCAGAACATGCACTCTGTAGGTCTAAAAATGGAAAATCTTATACCGTTGGAATCTTGGTTCAAAGTACTAAAAGTTCTTAGAAGAACTTTTCCATGATTCTAAACAGAAGACAATCATTTTTCAGGTCAAAATGGCTGATCTAGTAAACAAGGCAGTTTCAATCATAAAATTTTGGAAATTCAAAAAAATTCACAGGAACTGAACTATCCTCTAAAATTCGTAACACATTAAGAATTCTAATTAAGGTTTCAAACACAACAAATGGAACTAGATTTGGAGTTTTGAGCATCAAGATATAGCAGCTCAAAGTTGGCCAAAATCGAAGACAGTTCAGTAAATTTTCCAGTTTTGAAGAACAATTTTGACACATCATTTGGGTATCGAAATGGTCTTAGAATAACACCAAATTTTGTACACACCATATTCCATATGAGAACTACTCATACGGGAAGGTAGTTAACAAAACTACCAAAGTTCAAAAAATTTCCCAAAGCAAATCTGTCTTTTTGGTTTTCTTTCCTTTTCAAACTTTTTGCCCAATGAGATCAACTCCAATTTGATTCATTTTTTAAAACAAGGTCCAAGAAACATTTCCTAAGTATTTAACAAGCAATGGACATCAATATTTTCCAAACAAAACATCCCAAGTTAAACTAGACCAGTCGGCTAGCAAGAAGGAAGAGTTTTCCAAATTTCCATCTTTGTCACAATTTGAAAATTGAACCATATCTCACTCAATACAACTTCAAATTGAGAATGGTCAGCGGTTTTGGAAACTAGAATCATGAGGCTACATTTCATCAGAACAAATTGTTTTCAAAATCAATTCATAAGTGAGAGAAAATTGAGCCACAAAGTGCAGCTTCTACCTTTCTCTCGGATAGGCCAACAGACACTACAAGGATTTTGGTCATCAGTGATAACTACTTTTCGTCACAAAAAATCAAAAAGTCGTCACTGATGACCATTATTGACAACATTTCAGTTGTCGCAAGGTCGTCACTGAATCTCCGTCGGTAAAAGTATACAGTGACGACTTTAAAGTCGTCAGTAAATAGAAGCTTTTTTATGGCAATCTATGTTGTCAGTAAAAAATGAAAGTATACAGTGACGACCTTAGAGTCGTCAGTGAAGGAAATTTTTTATGACAACATATGTCATCAGTAAAAACTATAAATCTAGTGATGACACCTTCTCTTGTCAGTGATGCATGGAGGGACGGTAGTGAGGGCATAAGGGAATTAGTGACAACTTTATTGTCAATAAACCCCTGATCAACTGTGGCAACAATCCCTTATCAATAGACAGTTTTGAATGAGTGACAATAACAATTGTCAATAAAGACATCTTGCCTAGAAAAATACTACTCATTTACAACACCTTACACATGACTTTCCTACTACAATAATATCTAAAAAATGAAAACATCAGCAATGTTTAATAAATAACAAACGTCGGCACCCGTTACAATAGAATATGCCAGAATAACATATTAAATATTCAAATGTCATAAATAGGTGCAACATCATAGTACAAATAGTTTCATAAGTTTGAGTAGAACAAATACTACTCATATAAGTCAAGACTGCACTAAAAAACATATTCCAAGTCCCAAAACATTTCCTGCGCTTCTGAAACATTTTCTAAACTTAAGACAGCACTATAACCACAGTTTTTGAGTCGACATGTAAGCCGTACTGCTAATCTTCTTCGAAACCTCCAAAATGAGCAATATATCTGCAATAAAGTAGTAAAGTTATTAGTAAAGTTATCAGGTGACAAAAGCAAAACAATCTCTAATTGCTAAATAAACAACAAAAGTAACAAGCATTCACTAATCTGATACCACCGTAATGAATGCAGCAATTGCAGCAGAAATAGAGTGATAAGGGGGAGAGAAACTAGACTTGAGGAAGAAGAAAGAGAGATATTATTCAAAATGATTTTTCCATGTTGCCCAATCCGGATTTCTGCATTCTTATACAGCTCAAGAATAACAAAATAACTACTTGATTGTTGACTCAGCACAACAGTCTAACTAACAAGGAAGATTCCCTTTAACTACTTGAAAGAAATACATTTCGCATGTACTATATTGGTATTCTTCAAGTGAAATACTATACTGGAAATACATTAATTCTTCAAGTTGAAACTGACAATCCACTGCAAAGAGACCAAACAGTACTATACTGGTATTAAAGGCTAGACGGACACAAATTAATGGAAGGGGAGAAGATGGAGAAGGGGAGAGTATGTGTAACAGGTGGAACTGGACTTTTGGCATCATGGTTGATCAAAAGGCTTCTTAAAGATGGTTATTCTGTCAACGCTACAATTAGGTCCTCTTCAGGTTCATATTTGCTAATTTACTAGTAATTAGTTCTTTACTTGAATTACTTTACCATTTTCGTCTGCAACTTTACATATCATCAGAACAACTTTTTGGCAACTAAGTAGGAGCTAATTTCAGAAACGAAGGGTCTGAGACAGAACAGCAAATTGTCTGCACCATATTTCTAACAAGAAATCAGAAGCTTTGGTCAGCAAAGACAAAGGGAATGAAGAAGACAGTGCCATGATAAAATTCAACAAGGAAAGAAAGGATTTTCCAGAGTAAAGGCGGTAATTAGGAGCCATCAAAGTTTCCGTTTGAGCTTTAAAGCCTAAATGTCATTGCAAAACAGAAAAACTAGAATCAAGACACCACATAGCAAATCATTAGGCTTAACTGGAAATTGCATGACATTAATGTTTAGCAAGTATTCAAAAAGCTAAATCAGTACTTTGTTTTTGCTGTTCATTTCTAACCTAAATTAGTAAGCAGATATCAAATCTTCCTACTCTGTCCACAACGACCAGTAGTGATAGCAAAGTTATGCATGAACTTACTTTATAAACTCAAGGTGATTTACTCACAGCAAGAGTAAAATGAGAAAAAGAAACATCATGGAGCATAAAAAACGGCAAGTGAGCAAAAAGGGAAAACAACAACAAATTTTCTTCATACATTTGGAGACCTGGAAACTAATCATGATGAAACGATCATAACCCAAAGGATAAACCTCAATGCTAACAAATGCAAATGAACATAGAGCTTGTGAATTGTTGTGCAACAAATTTATAAGCCGCGGACTTTACGAATTGCGAAATGTGAAGCATAAAAGAAAAAGGGTTCCAGCTAAACGGAACTCACTGCTTCATGTAACAAGAGCGAAGTTAAACATGAGAGACGGACTTAAGACATCACAAGCAGAATGCAAGGAAGGAGAATCAAGAAAAACAGCCATATAGGCGTGTGAGTAACCAACAAGGAAAAGGAAACACCCATCAACAAACTGCCATCCAGCAGACTTTTGTTACGTGCATTCTGGGCATGACTTATGCTCATTAAAAAGATTCTCAACATCTGACTAATTTATCAAAGAGAGACATGAAACAGAGGGAACCTATGAAATGGAAGAGATAAACAAGAGAAAACAGCCCATAAGTACTAACGAATAGATTGCTGTCTATTTACATTCAGATTCTCAAACCAATTTGGCAACTTGGAGAAATCATATCATTCTAGTTCCAAATGCTACTCGGTGAACCAGCAAACAGGGCAAACATTTTTCAATCAGAACCTAGTTAGGCATTTCGTCGAACAGGTTGGGGCATTAGAAATTTCATCAGACTTTTGCTCCAATTGAAGTTAATCGGCCCCAAAATTGTTCAATAAGCAAGAGCTTTCAGTTCAATTTAACACATAAGGCACATATGATCTAAAATCCTGAACAGTCAACATGACAATTGTACTTAGCAAACGCACGGCAAAAATGCTCTGAACATCGCGGAATGCAACAACGAAAAAGTGGAAAAAATCAACTTCAAGAATCATGGCTTTTCTTTTTCTTCCCGACTAGCAAATTCTCGGATTCTGCCTAACTTTGGACTGGCCAGAGTCCCTATTGAATAAAAAAGCACAAAATCCCCTCTTTTGGTTCAAAACTTTCGTTCGGGCTTTTTATCAAACAGGTCATGGGCATTAAAAATTTCAATGATTCTTTGTTCAAGTGATATTATATCTAGCCCCAAAATTCATCAGAACAAAATGGATTTCAATCCCAGCATCATATAAAACACATATATTCACGGGCTATGTAAAACACAGAAGGAAGACTGAACTGTAAACGAAGAAATTACCTCTCACGGTCTCGCCAAAGCAAAATTCTCCAAGGCAAGCATCCAATGAGGACCACTGGGGTAGACATCAATCAAGACGTTGAACTGCCTCTCTCCTCTTCTACGTGCTTATCATCAGCCTTCAATTTCTTGACATCTTCGTTGTTCTCTCCCTCCTCGTCAGCTTCATCTCTGACGCGCTTTAAATTGCCGGCACCGCCAACCGCCGCGTCATCAGCTTGGGCTTCGACTATTTTCATGTCTTGAATGGACGATTCCTTCACCTCACCGTCGACTAGGGTTTCTGGGGTTTACTTTTGCTCTATTTCTGCCATAGTTTCCTCTCTGTTTTCCTTTCTTCTCTTAGTCTACCTCTCTCTAACTTCAACTCTCTCCTTTTGCTTTTTTTTTTTTCCGCCGCTCTCCTTTTCCTTCCCTCTGTTTTTCCTCTTTTCGTAGCTATTCTTTCCTCAGCCGAAGCTCCCTCTCTTTTTCGTTGGCTTGCCCGATAGTTTTTCTCTTTGCTAATCCTTGTCCACCGCCCTCCTTCATTTTCTGATTTCTTCCACCGAGAATCGGCATACCTTTTTGGTAGAGAGTTGCTGCTAAATGTGGCCTTCTATTTGATCATTTCCGAGCCAAGATCAATTAGGAGATGGCGAGGAGATGTTTCGACAGAGATAAGGAGCAGTGTGCTACGGTTGGTTCTAAGTGTTGGCTGTTGGCTTTAGGATACAGCTGGTGTTTAGATCGGTGATACTGGTAGTGTTGGCTATTTGGTTCTAAGTGTTCTAAGTGTTTCCGCGCCTCTCCTCAAAATATTGACTTTGAATGAAATTTCAATTCCTTATATTTCCCCCTTACTTGTTCAGTACCAAAATTTCAATCAACGTTTTTTAGTTTCCAACATTTTAGTGGAATTAATATTTTGCTAATATAATATTACTTGCTACTTTTAAATATTTTTGTGAAAATATTCATAGTGGATGAGAAAATTATGTTGAAATATTACAAGTGGTAAATGCACCTTGGTTCTGCTTCAAATAGTTAATTTTTTTATGACATCAAACAGTTGATCCGATATTAATATTACAAGTGAATTTTTAGCTTCAAATTTTATTTAAATTTACTAATGTATTTCTAATCACTACTTCTTAACATATTTATCAAAAAATTATAATGGATGAAAAATTTTTGCTAAATTCAAAGAACTGGTAAATATACTCTTTCTCAAGTTGTAATAGTTTATATAGTTGTTCTAACTAGACACTTTCATTAATTTTTTTCAGTTAAAAACCTATTGAGTAACTGTGACTAGTTTAATAAATCATCAATTTTTTAAAAAATTAAATTAATATTTAAGTAACTATGACTAGTTTAATAAATCATCAAATTTTAAAAAAATTAAATTAATATTGAGGCTCACAATTAAATAAATGCATTAGAGATGTTCAAGTCAGTGATGATACTTATGTTGTCACTAGCTACGCTATAGTTTTACAGACAAAAATTGGTCGTCAGTAAACATAAACAGTGACAACAATGAAATGTTGTCAAAGAAAGCGGTAGAATTACTGACAACATTTATCAAGTCGTCACTATCGCAAATCTCGCGCCTTCCAAGTCCCATGGCGCGAAGTAGTTTTGTGACGACAATTAAAGGTTGTCACTGAAAACTCAGTTGCTTTGAGTCAATTGTGACAACCTTCAAAGTCGTGACTAAACAACCTCATTTTGTGATGACTTTTTGTCGTCACAAAGAAATGTTGTCACTAATGATCTTTTTTCTTGTAGTGAGAACAGGGCAGCAAATTTTCTGACTCGCTATGGCTCACTCATTTGGAACTAGAAGGTGAATTTTATACCGTTGGAAAGCTACAACTGTCTAGTTTCAAAGACCACAAACGACACTCGATTTTGACATCTATACAAAAAGATATGTTCGATCAAAGGGACAATGTTCAAGCTGTCTGAACACATTTTCCAGGTTTCTTCACATTCCGAAATTTCAAGTTTTACTCAACCAATTCAAATGCTTTTTGGTAGAAACTTTCTACACACCATATACAACATATATACATCAGTTTCACAGTCATTTGAGCATCAAAAATTTGAAATAAAGGCATGGAAAAGACAAGATAGATTCGGCCATCACCCAAATGAAATCTACCTTCGATTTTTCCTTCTTTTCTCTATCCATAATCATCTTAAACAACACTTAAACAACTCAAATCAAGCATTATATCATCATATCAGCCCATACAACCAAGGTGGGAGTTCATAGAACCCACTTCAACCAATCCAATCCAAGTAATAACAACAATAATGATGCTACAAGCTTCAAAACCAAGGATAAACCCATTAAAGCCAAGAATGAAAGATTGGATGGTGTTGGATGGTTACGTCCTAGCTTTGAGAGAAACCAGAAATTTTTTGGTACCTCCAAGAAAACCGCCAAGATGATGTCTTTCTTCTAGTTTAAGTGAATTCCCAAGTGGTTTGTGAGTTGGATGCAAAGTTTGAGATGAAATGGAGGAAGATTGGTGCAAGAATGAAGAAGCTTTTCTTCCTTTCTTTTCTTTGCTATTTGGTCGACTGAAATGAAGAAGAGAAGATGAGGGTTTTGTGTTTTGTGAAGCTTCCTTGAGAAGCTTAAGTGATTGGTGGCCAAAATTGCTACAAAAGTAAACTAGGAATAGTGCTCACGCGCGCGCGTCTCGTTTCCGTTTTCCTCGGGTTTGTTTTACTTGTGCACTAAAGTTCAATTGTAATTCCTTTAACACTGTAATTATTCACTCTTAGCAACCTAGTATAAATTTCTTACATCTCCATTTAGCCGTTCCGACTCGATTTACGCGAACTTCCGATTCGCGTGCGATAAAGCGAAACTTACAAGAAATTTATGTAACAATGATATAATTAACTAACTCTAAGGTGATACGAAATATGGGCCGCTTATGGGCCATGTTTTGGGCTGCAAGAGATTGAATCTTTTAGTAATAGTTAGTAGTTTATTTTCTAGATTTCTATTTTATTTGCTAGGAATAAATTCGGTCCAAGACCTCATGTTGAGTTGGATCCGATTTATAGAGTCTAGGCTCACTATAACTTAAGTTGGTTAATTAGCTTTTATTGGGTTATGTTGGGCCAACTTAAAGCTTTCATTGGATTGATTATAAGCTGACCATTAGATAGTGGATTTGAGTAGTGGAATCGGGCCAAAGGCCTAGCCTAGCCGAGTTAGGGTTTTCAAGTCACTTTAGGTTTTCAAGTTGTAAGGCTATATACAGCCTAGGTTTTCATTCATTAGAGGACAATTCAGATTTTATAAAATATTCGTGAGGTTATTCACTCTCTCTTGCCTCAAGAGAATTTCTTTTGAATACTTGAGAATCAATCTCAAGCTGTTCATTGAACTTATCAATCAAGTAGTCTCCTTGATTGTGGCGTTCTTCTATCTTTACTTTTGGTTCACTAAATTTGCTAGTCTTGGGTTAAGGATTATCCTTAGTTCGTGGCTCGTGATTCTAGAAGGGTCAAAGTTCCGCAAACCCACTCAACTTGGTGTTCGTTTAGATCCGTCGCACATCAGTTGGTATCAGAGCCAGTCGACTACATCAAGTATATCCCGTTGAGTTTGTTCGTAAGCTTTCTAGTCAATTTTATTTTGCAATTCTGGTCGTGTCTTCCTTTGTGTCAAGTCCGGTCATTATTACAAAAAAAAAAGAAAAATTTTTGTCCGCCTTTGTTGTCTTGTTGAGTCACTCTTTGATTTCTTTTGCTTCGTGTCCACTTCGTGCATTACTTGTTGTGTGATTCTGTCTTGAAGCCTTCCTTCAAGTGTAGCCGTGTTTTGTTCGTTGCATATTCTGTTTAAATATCAAACAAAAAAAAAAATTCTGCGACGGCTAGGGTTTTCACTTGCAACTAGGGTTTTCCTTGGGCACAAGTTTCTTACCGAATCTGTCCAAACTTTAGTTTATTCCACCAAGTTGTTTTCATTAATTTCCTAAACTGATTTTTGTGGTTAAACTTGTTTGGGGTTGGAATCTTGAAGAGGGACTACAATAATCTAGGGTTTCTTGAGTTCCTTGAAACTAATCTTGAAGTCTTGAAACTTTGATACATGTCTTGATAGTTGTTGGAGGATTGAAGGAGAACATTGGTTTGACATTAAATTCTGGAATTTTACCCAAGAACAGCCGAGTAATTGTGTGTTCTTAGAGTAAAAAAAAAACAAAAAAAAACAAAGGGCATTCGGGTGACAAACCACAAAGGAGGAAGCCGCACTTTTATTTGCCAATTCTGTCTTGTTGCAATTGTTCCAACAAACCAGAAAATTACATCAAGAAAAGCATACTCAAAAGTTTTGACCAACCTCCTCTTGAAAATCTTGCACACCTTGGGTCTTGATCACTTGTATCACCCGTTGAGATTTTTGAGGAACTTGACCATCTTGGTTCTTGAATATTTGCACCTCCCTACGTATAAACAGTTTCTTGTACGTCCTTGCATCCATACGGGGCTTTCTTGGCTTAGGAGTAAACCTCTTGGGAGTTTCTTGAGCAGGCCGCTTGGGGTATTCTTGGGTGACGTTGCTTGAGTCATCTTGTGAAGCCATTGTTTAGCACCAAGCGTCAAAACTGTCCTTGTGTGGAGCAAAGAGGGGAGGGCCGAGTTGTTGTTCTTGAGGGAGAGTAAGGGACGAAAATTTTGAGGGGATTTAAGAAGAGGTAATTCTGGAAAATTTTGGGGTTAGGAAGCTACCAAATCTGGGAAAAAAATTTAGGAAATTCCAGCCGACTTTGAGGGGAATTCAAGAAGACAAGAAATCTGGAATTTTTTCGTGGAAGCAATTCTGATTTGATAAGGTAACAAATCTGGAAATTTTCAGCGGTTAGGAAGCTACCAAATTCTGTTTTGCAGCCGACTTTGGAAGGTTTAAAAGGAGCAGAAATCTGGAAATTTTTTAGCTACCAAATTCTGTTTTGCAGCCGACTTTGGGAGGTTTCAAAAGAGAAGGAAATCTGGAATTTTTTTGGGAACAATTCTGATTTGTTATAGCCGACTTTAGG